GGGGAGGCTGCAGGGGGTGGTCCAGGATTGCTCTTTTCTCCTTCTTTTTCCCTTCCCTTTCCTATATTCGTTCTCACTTTTTCCTTATTTCTATTTCACACCAGTCAGTGGGAGGGGGGGGGGGGGTCGAGTTCCCCATGCCTGCTGGATCCGCCACTGTGGTATCGCCCGTATACTTAGCATTCGATTACTATACACCAGTCGGTTTGCCTGATATAATACTCTGAGTGGGTCACCTGTTCGAATCGCGAGAGATGGGGGCAAACTGAAACCAGATTTGATATTTTATGCAATTCCATTTATTGGGGGGGGGGGGGGTGGTAAAATAAAACAGGATCAAATCGATGGAGTATAGAGTGATGATCCTGTAGTTATACATTTAAAGTAGAACATGTATGATTGGACATCTTTTACGACTGTTCTTTTGAAAATCACAAACCTAATAAATTTATGCGGTTTCTGTTTAATAATTTCAATTAGGAGAATAAAATAAATACTTGAAAAAACACAAAAAACAGGGAGACTCTTTTGTGTCAGCTTTGGCATGTACGTTATAAACCGGGCTAAGCTAACAATAATGATCATAAAATAAGATTTGTACAAGAATAAACCGAGATTCGGAAAAAAATTTCACATATTTTGTATTTAGTTGACGATTTTAGGAAGTTCCTGCACTGTTGAGAAAAGTATCTTGGAGGAGGGGTACATGGAGCATGGAGCACCCCAACCCCAAAAGAAGAATAAAATAAGCAGATTAAAGAAGGGTTATGAGAACATGTATGTACGTGGAAATAGATTATACGAGCCCTATACCATACCTACTGCTCACTCGATCGCCGTGTTCACTCGCATTTCAGTGCCCCCCCCCCCTCCTACCATGACACCATGAACCCCCTAAATAGCTGGACCCACGCCTATGCCACTAGCACTTATGATTAAATCGGAAATCAAAGTATCAAAGTACGCGTAGATGACATCCGATTTGCGCGCTCTCGATCCATGGACATTCTCCGTGGTCATTAACCTTTGCGCGCTTGGAACGATAAAGTAGTTCCAGTGTCAGCGCGCGTTTTCTACTCTTTTTTGGCGCGCCTCAATCAATTATCGGGCTAGTGAAGACTACTGTATTACGCGGGACAATGTTAACTTGCCTTCACTTCTACTCATATTTTGTTTCAATGTTTACATCACTGTATGAAGTTTCGAGTACGAAAGTTAATAGATTGTTCATTAAAATAAATTACAGTAGAAAAATATGAAATGGGATATTTCATTGATGATTGTAGGGTTAAATTAGTGTGCTAATAGGAAGTTATCAAAACAAGAAATATTTTTTTGGTTGAGTAAAATACCAAAGAAACGACAACTAAATTTTCGTTTTCACTGGTCTATTTTTTGTTGGTGTCAGCTTAACATTCAAATATTCGTTTTATTTTGTATATTTTTGGGGAGAAGGACTATCGAACTTTTTAGAGAAAGTAATTAGCAATAAATACATGCAATGTAACTGGCAAACTAGTAAAGCAGAAAGTGATAATTGAATTTTTTTAAAAATAACTACTGCGGTGGAGAAATAGAGTCGGAGATAGAGTAGTCAAGAGAAAATAAGATAAGGGTAGTTTGAGAGACAGAGATAGGGGGAGAGAAAGAGAGAGAGAGAGAGAGAGATGAGCTAGCATTATACAAGGAGGGAGGAATGGAGGTAGAGGAGAGGGGAGAGAGAGAGGGAATGAGAGAGGGAGGGAGGGAGAGGGATTTCGGCCAAAAATCGGGCCAAAAAACAAGGCGGAAAAAAAGAAGAAATTAAGGAAGAGTAATACGGTAGCCCAAACCCGTGTCAATGAATTACTACACGCGTGGGGTGCCAACGTGAGAGATCATGAAATGGCATTTAGCGCGCAAGCCGCAAATGTATCAAATTGATAAAACGCGCAATTTGGATCCACGTGTTTCTGTGTATAGGGCGTGAAAAAAGGGGTAAGTGGGCGGGCATTTGTGTATAGGCTAGGTCGCGCTCGTAACCGTGGGAAATATAAATGTAAACAAAAACATTGAGAAATGTTATGACCTACAGGTTTGCGTATGATTACACAAATTCTTTTGGCCGAATTCGACACTTTTGCTCGGGCAGTCTTGATCAATTTTAGTATTTGAAGTAAATTTTCGAGTGATTTTTGTTGTAGAATCTTTGAAGTTTAGTAGCAGTCTACATGCTTAAAGTGGGCATGTTGAATTATCATAACTTATACAATGAAAATGCGTAAAACAAATGTTGCAGAACATCATAAAAGCTATAAAAAAAAATGAACAAAATATACAACTAAGCTTAGATTCTTCAATCCTCTCTACTTTATAATGCTGATGTATTTATAAAACATGAACCGTTTGGTTTAAGATAGAGAGTCTTGATAATAGGCAGTCTAAAGAATTCCAAATAGGCGTGTGTATTCTTAATCCTTATGGGGTTTATTACATGAATTTGCTTCATTAAATGATGTGATATGTTGTCAAATATTGTAATGCTTAGAAAACTTGTAGTTGTACTGTGATTGTTTTTCTTCATAAAACTGTTCGACCGGGGCCTACTGGTCGGTAAATGAAAATACATGTGTAATGAAAGAAGGATTTTTGGAAAAATGGTAAAGTGTGTGCATGAAAGAGTGATAGACACAGACTTGCGAAGAACGACAAGGTGAGATAGATGGGTAGATAGATAGATGGAGATATATATGAGAATGAGAGGAAGAATTAAGGAGAAAGGGAGAGAAACAGAAAGAGGGAGAGAGAGAGAGAGAGAAGGGGAACTGAAGGTGGACAGACAGAAAGAAAGAAAGAGGGAGACGGATAAGTCTAGAGATTATAGAGGGAGAGAGAGTGGTGGAAGACCGTGAAATAGAGAGACAGAGAGATGGAAAGAGAAAGATAGATAAGAAACTACAGAGGTAGAGAGAGGAGACGAAGAAAAAAATGAGGTAGAGAGAGAGAGAGAGAGAAGAGAAGAGAGACAGGGGGGTAATGGAGTGAAATTAAAGACATTTATCACTTGCGCTTTTGGAAGAATAAAACCTTATTACAAGAATAATAATGGGATTGCTTCGCCTGACATTTAAATGACCCTTTAAGAACCTGGCTTTGAATATAACGGGACCACTTCCAACGACATTCCAAAGCCAAGCACGATGCTACTATACAATTGACAGAGCGTACCCTAATTACGTATTACAATATCTATTCAATTGTATTACGTAACAGTCAATGCCGGATTGCCAGGTAAGCATAGAAGGTGACGTAACAGATTTTGAATACAGGGGTTCAACTAGTTGGGGGAAGTCTTTAATTTGTATGCACTGGCTTTCTGTTCCGTTAGAGTAAATGAGGTACTGTACATGTAAATCTAATTTGTAAATTAATTGTTTTCATTCTCCTTTATCCCCACAGTATTTTTGTTATGTTGATGATACATGTAAGAAATTTATGTCCGTCATAAATGTGAAAGCTATTGTTATCAGTCATTAGATTAGATCATCATCATCATTGCGTGTTCATATGGCATGATTCACCAAAAATAACTAGCCATGTCAACTGTCCTATTATCATAAGAATCATCAATACCATTATTTCATTCACCATCATCATTAGTGTCAACTTCACGATTAATACGGCGTAGTGCGAATCCAGACACTGAAGGGGGCACCTGTTTAATGGAGAAAGGGGGGGGGGGGGGTATACTAGAGAGTAGAGATACTGGATGGATTCAATGCGAGAGGGTATAAGACCATCGAGTGAGGGGGTGATCTGGAAGGGGTCGTTATTTGCCCCTTCCCATAATCTCTTCCCTCCTGTTTTCATTTCTTTTCTTCATTCTTTGTGTTTTATTGCTGTTGTTGTTGTTGTTTTTTTTTTTTGGGGGGGGGGGGGGGCAGTTCGTACGATAATGCATGTAAATACCATGTTCATGAAAGGCATAATCATAACGGCACCATCACCATTTCAGTCTCCATGGTAACCAAAATTACCACCCCATACGCCATGATTGCCACCTCTCTCTTCCATATTTCCATTACATCATCGTTTTTCATCTGTATTACCCCCCTGCCCCCCTCCCCCTCATTATAACATTTACGCTCATGGGTGGCACGGTTATTATGATGAACAACTTAATTTATCATCATCAGGACCAATGCCATCTCCCTCATTATTCATGGTTTATACTTGTACTTTATTTCTCGTTCAGACATCCTTATATTATTATTAATCTTTCCTGGTAACGAGTCAGAAAATAGGAGAGAAAGGAAAGGAAAGGAGAGAGAAGAGAGAGAGAGAGAGAGAGGAGAGAGAGAGAAAGAAGGAGAGAAAAGGTGTAGAGAGCGAGAGAAGGAGGGTTAAAGATGAAAGATAAAAAGCTTTACCAAGACTATTTCGTATTATGAGGAATCCACAATATATTTATTCACCCGTAACTGATTGTGTTTTCAATAGCCAGAAAGCTAACTGATAGAATGGTTTGAGAAAGTGAAAATATGTGGAAGATAATAGACATCGACGTGAAATCATTTAAATATATAATCCAAATACTCCGATTTGCCTTTGTAAATGTTACATAATATTTCTCTTTTACTCTCGCTTATCTCCCTTCACTTTCACTATCTATATACAACTTTCCCTTTTCTCCTACTTTGAATATAACTGTCACACTATCACGTCGCCCGCATACCACACCCCCTCCGTACCCTCCACACACGAGTACCTTTACACACAAGTTCACAGTAGGGTCACTAGTAGATAAGCCCCTCATAACCGTCTGCATACCTCGCATTCAAAGGCCCTCATGCATATTCATCAACGTCCGCACAAAGGCCCGACCCACGTGACACCCCGGCGCGGGCTTTTTTGTCTAAGCCCGCGACTCTCCCACGCAACGCTCTCCCAAACCCAAACAAACCTCTTGCGGTAACAGCTGTAGGAACCAAACAATGGAACAAAGACTCGTCGACAGGGCATTTAAATTTTCCATGTGATTTTCTTTTTCTTTTAATATTTTTTTTTGTAATAAGCAAAAATTTGGAAACTTCAGTACAAAGCATGAACACCTTTCTTAAGATCATGGTAACAAAAATGTAAATGATTTTGATTACATATTTTTTACTTTTCTTGAAAACAGTATATTTGTAAGAACGAGGACTGCAATGTTTGTAAACATTACTATGAGAATTACTACGTATACATGTATACAAAAAAACAAATATGCAGGGCTAGAAGTTAGAACGCTGTAAAATGCTAAATAGGAAAAAATCCAACACATTTGGTGATATCAATCTTCTGAAGGTTTAAAATATTGTTGATTAAAAAAAAATCCTTCTCAAATTTCCCAATCCATGAGTAATTTTTTAAAGAATGTATTAAAACTGTTTTTTCTCACTTACTACTAGCCTATGAAATGTGCTTTTCCACAGGAAAGAAGGAGATGATTCCCCTGAACGATTATTGAAAATGGGCTTTACATTATAATTTAAAACAAGGAAACTTGAGGGAACATTGTACCAGTCGTCAAATACCTGTCAAGGTTACAATACTTATTTGTGAAGTTCAAAAACCTTTGCTACTTTTCAAAGTCTTCTTATAACTAAATATATATCATGTAAATATACATTTTAACACGTATGTACAAAACTTATTCCATAGTCTTTCTTCATAGAACTTTTCAAGTCTCTCCTTTCCGTTATAGATTGTCTCTCTCTCTGTTCATAGAGTTTCTGTTAGAAATACACTATACAAATCTGATTTTATATCCTTTCTTTATCTCTGTTAAACCTTTGTAACTAGATGCCTTTCTGTAAACACTACCTTTCTCGACCCATGTCCATATATAAGCCTTATCTCTGTATACATCCACTCCTATATACAACGTCTATATGCTGCCAATCTTATATCAGATACACCACCTATTTGCCACCCAATTGCATGTAGCATTCCAAGACGGGGCCAAAACTTATCTTGCCAATTTGTCACTTTGAAAATGGGGATACGTTGTTTTAAAAGAAAAAAAATATAAAAAATGCACAGAACAATATGATAAACCAATCCCCACCACATTAATACAATCAGCTAAGCTCAACTACTCCATAGAAGGGTTATACTGTCTTAGTACACATCACACAGACTATATAGTCAGGTGCTAGGCTAGGCATTCACTTTAAAAAAAAATAGCAAAACGGGTTATCAATATCAGTTTTTGTACAAACTTACAAAAATCATTATCAAAAAGTGGAAGATAGATTTCATCGTCACAATTCAAAAGATAAAACATTTTTTTTAGTAAAAAAAAAAGAAAAATAAGAGAAACATGTTCCTACCCTTTTTTAACAAAGGGTAGTTGTATCAACTGACATAAAAGGTATAAAATAAAGGCAGTGCTCCTGGGTAAGTGGTCCAAATCCAATACGCTCAAAGAGGTAAAGTGTTCTCTATCGTAGAGTCTTATAGATAGTCATGTCCATGTGTAGCAGGGAACTCCGCCACGCCTAGTCACTTGGCCTCTTCTAATTGCCGCAACCGAAGGAGCAAAGCGTGGTGTCTCCTCTTGAGAGCGTTATGTGTCCTGGTGTGCGACTCTTCGTCAGCGTGGAGATGGTGTACATAGTCCGTGGCTTTCTTGAGGATCACGATCTTGGCTGCACGCTCTTGCGAGGCGAGCTCCGGCACCTGATCGCGGAGCTTGAAGAAACTGGTCCTGAGGTCTTCTCGTCTCCGCCTCTCGAGGACATTATGGTTGGCTCTGCGATCACAATCCTCAGAGTCTGACGAGTCCTGACTGCCGTGTCTGCTGCTCCCGCGACTACTCCCTCTACTGCTGTTCCTGTTGTAGGTTCTCTTTGATAAGCTCTTTGAGTGTTTCGTACTGTTGTTACTGCTTAAGGTGTTCTCCAACACTCGCTTCACATCCTCCAAGCTCACATGCTTTGCAAGGTTTATCTTGTTCAGTTTCTTCAGACCGGTGGTAGTCTTGAGACTGGTCGGTACTTTCGAGAGGATGGATTTGTTTGAGGAACAGCGCTTTACCACTTTGAACATTTGTGCACCATGGCCATGTTTTCGCGAATGTTTCGAGTGGCGTTTGATGATGATTGTTCTTGGTACATTATGTGAGGATGGCGGGCACTTCTTTCCACTGTAACCACATCGATTTCTTCCTCTGCAAAATCAAAAAGAATGCACAAAAAGAAGGAAAAATTAATATACTGAAATACATCACAAGAACAAGTAGATAAAATCTGTCAATCTGAATATCAATTAAATCAATTGAAATATAATGCATATCAAGTTCTTTTCAAAATATTGTGTCTATCTTCAACCAAATATTCTCCTATCTCATACACCTGTCTGGGCCTCTTTAATAGCATTGCTGCGGTATTGCGCAACACTTATCTCGCACTGGCATGTATAGAATTTGGCGACCATTGTTCAGTTACACTGCGCGCACGCCCAAACACTGCACTGTTACTATACCCACAAAGGGTTTTGGGAGAAGGTCGGCGAATTCACCATTTTTAAAGAACCCGGAAGTAAACAGTGTTGTGATATGATATAGTAAATACATGTAGGAGAACTATACCAAGTACACGAGACAGCACTCAGAAGAACATCATTTTGAATTGTAAATGGACCTCGTACATTACTGTACCAGTTTAGCAATGACATTTACTTGATTCGCTGTTTATATAAATTTCCATCGAAACATGCTACACTTAAATGCAGGCATGCCATTAAAATTAATACAATTTGTGTGCAAGTGGTAGCATCTGGCAAGGTTTAGTATTGAACGCCCAGTCTTTGAACGCCCGACCTTTACTTCAGGGGAGCATTTTCCCGCGGTTCCAGATCAACTAGGCTATGTATGTGTTTCCTAATCAAATATTGCTCTATTCGTCTTCAACATTGTGCAATGTAGTTCCAACAGCCATTTTGCCGCGCTAGCTGAATACGCACGCAGCCTAGCCGGGCAGCGGGCACAGCGCCAAATTTGAGTTAGGGAGTGAACACCGGTAGAATTGAGTCAGCACCAAGGCAATAGCATTGCACAGGGGTTGGAAAATATTTGTGACTTTTCCATGCCAGAGCGCCGTGATACAATTTCCCCCGTGTATCTTTTGGGATTGGGGTGAATTGCAAGGCAACCGGATGAGTTGGGCTTTGCCTGGTTTATTGCAAGCTTCCTGCCTACTCTGAAGCCCGCGACAAACAGGATTTTTGAACAACTTTCACAACAGTCAACAGGGTTAATAACCCGTTCATGACCATTTCTCTCAATTTGTTTTCTTCAATCTTTGAATAGTGAAAATTTAAGGACACGATGAAGGCTAAGAGTACATTAAATAAATGTCTTTACCACAAACATCTACACCTCTCCCCACAATCTCTTCACACGATTTGATACAAATATGGTTATTCTGTTCAAGTCAAAGAGAGACACAAAATTCGATTTTTAAGTCAACAAATTAATTGATCACAATGACAGTGATGAAAACAAAATCTCCACGGGTAAATTAATGTTTGTGCCCCCTCAAAAATAATGAAAGAATATTGATAAGTAGGTGAATTCAGATTGAAGTGAAGGCAAAAAAAAAAATGAACCAAAAAAAAAAGAGAAAGGAAAAATATTCACCAGAATCAGATGGCGTCGTACTCGAGAAGTCCAGTCTGGTGTCACTGAGGGGGTAGGGGAACACTGACGTTGGGTCGACACATTCACCCGAGGAAAAGTCGCCAGAGACTCCACCGGCTACTGACGAGTGGGCCGTAAGTCTACCGTTCTTAGCCGCCTTCTCTGCCTGCATCTGTCGCCGCCTCTCCTCGGCTTGAATAGCACTCCACATACAGTCTTGGATGAGAAAGTTCGATTTGTGGGAACCAATGTTAATTCTGGCAGGGCTAACGTTCCTGTGAGTGGTTGGTACCGTTGGCTTGTGATCGGGACCAACAAATGTTAAACTCTGTGTCATCCATACCGGTTCGTCTTCAAGAATCTCAGAGAGTACGCGTTGGAGTTTGTCAGAGTCCGCAAAGAGAGGGGCACTTATCCCCCCGCCCCCGCCGGTGTCCTCACCGTCGCTGCTGGGGTGAGATGGGCTCAGGGGTGGTGTGGGGAAAAACTCCAACTCCATATCGTCGAATTTCTTCCAGATGTCTTCGCTTGGCGTTGTCGAGTTGGGGGACGCAGCTGAGCCATAGAACTCAACATCGTCGTTGATGAAACACTGCTTAAACGGGTCGAACTCTGAATCCACTGCCAGTGCCATTTTGCAGGTGATTCCGTGACTGGTGAGGTAGTGAATAACTTAGTTGCAAAATCTGCTAGTTGCAGTTATAAATCCAAGTATAAATTCCGATTAGAGTTTGACAAGGCAAATCCTGCAATAAAAGAAAAATAACATTTCAGTTAGAATTTATGATGATAAAAATTGGAAGTCGGCAAAGAAATAGCAACCAGTGCAATGCTATTTCGAGAACAGCTGATCGACCGCTTTGTTCACATGCCTAACTTTATGAGTGGCAAGGGTCGCACACACACACACGATTTGCATCGGTGGTCTTCAAAGAGACCAAGCGAGATATTAAAGGTAGGCGGTCACAGTTGGGATGAACAAATCAAAATAATGTTACCACTTTAATCATGAAATTAAAACAAAAAGATTAAACAAGGTATCATTCACATCTTAAGAAATAAATGTTTTCAAATACAAGTGTGCATCCAAAGATCATATGCAAGCAAAAATGATTAACGACTCGCAGTGCACAAGACACTGCACTGACTGTAATTTCACACACATTATAACTGTCTGGGATGGTAGTGAGATTGAGATATTGCACTGTGCTGTGATAGACTAGATCTAGAATCTAGACTAGATCAATCAAGGCCAAACAAGATTAAAAAATTATTAAAAAATTACACAAGAACATTTGATTGCAAGTTACACAGCTAGTATAATCCACATAGATATGGAAAGCAGAATTTAGTCCCCATCACAATTATTAACGTCTATGCTACCAAATAATGATGAAAATAAGACGAGTTGATTTGTGAGAGTTGCGTAGTCCCGCACATACATGAGGAAGAAATGAGAAGAGTTCATTCATTCTAAAAATCGCTGTACGTGAGCACATGAGACCCCGTATCGACGTGAAAACTCAACTACATACAAGTGAAGAGAATACTTACGGAAATGTGCAAGAATATCCAACAACAGAAGCAAATTGACAAAGTATAATTCCAAAAACCCGACAAGGTTTGGCGATCTGCTGGTGAAACTACGCTCGACTCAGACAGAATGACCCAGACGAAGTATGTTCAGACGCAATATATTACTCTTGAGAAATACTACGGTACCGTGGACTATACGTATTACTCACAAGAGCATTATCGCACAAGCAATGCTTACATACATTACCCTTTTAAAAACCGCACCACAAGCGCTGAAGCTTGTATCGGCGCGCGACCGGGGGGTATTACTGCTATGTTCCGATCGATGGTGCGGACGTGATATTCATTTCCGAATCCAAGATAGCAGAAATGAGAAAATGTTTGAAATGTTTGAAAGCATGGAAAACATCTCGGTAGGAAATATTTTCGAGTCATGAGTGAGGAGCGATGGCTCAGTGGTAGAGCAGTGGCCTCGTAACCGGGAGGTCCCAGATTCGAAACCAATTCGATAGTATACGTTATAGCTTAGTGCCCTTTGGTAAGGCATTATCCTCATTACCATAGTCCCTTGAAATTGAAATAAGAGAGATGGTTGGCATAAATGTAAAAATACTAGCACTAAAGATAAGGTAGAAGAAGAAGAAGACAAAAAAAAAAAGAGAGATAGAGAAGCCATTTTTTAATTCCATTAAATTCGTCAAAATTCATTTCGTGTAAATACAATGGTAGACTGGTACACAACATTGTCAAGTTTATTCTGTCTCATTAACTAAACTTGCGAAGAAGCAATAAAGGATTACTTTACAAAATCTGGTAAATCACTTAGAGTCCAATACAATTTTCATATAACAAAATAACGATTGAGCAAAATATTTGTCTTATTTCCTAACGATCAGTAGTTTTCCTTTTGAAAGCTCTCTCAACGTTAAGAAAAGTTTTCATGTCGGTGGCACTATTAAATTCCACCTTACATCTAAAAATCAGTTGGTGTTTCCGTTTTATGGAAGATGTTTAAACCTGATACTTCCCTTTAAGCCGCTTAACAACACAATTAAGGCGAACGACATGTGTAATATGCGGAACACCCCCCGCGTACTATACTTGCGAGACAGGTGTAGCATACGGCCGTACAGTGATGATTTATTTTAGTCATAATTCCGTAAGCAGTTACTGAATTCAGCATTTTAACTTTTCTCAAATCTATTGAATGATAAAGAGGGAAACTTTCATACATTTATCGTAATTATCATTTAACTACATTGTCTTTATCTCGCACACGATTACTACTCGCGATTTGTAACAAGGCCCGAGCAGGGGGCGTGGTGTACCAAGCCCGCGAAGAGCTCTGACCAATGAGATAACTGACTTTATTTAAGGGGCGGAGCCGGTACCGGCGTTTAACGCGTTACACTTTATGATGTATTCAGGAACCCTTATGCCGGTCTACTTGAATCAGCTGTTCGATGAGAACATAATAATACACATTTTGTCAATTGATGTAAGGATAGGCCAATATGTATACAACTCAAGTGGCTCTGTATTTTATCAATTTGGGCATATTAGCCAATGTATTTCTTTAAAATAAATTATCAACAAAACAAACCATATTTTCAGATTTGTAGTAGAAACATATATTGAGGTATAAAATATGTTATTTTAAGGAGATTTACAACCGTTCCAGCACGTAAAGTCTTGATGTTACAATATTGGTCTAAGTTACGTTCTTCAGTAAGAAAATAGATTATAAGGCCTAAATGTAAGGGTAAATCGAAACAAATATTTCATTCTTTCGTGTGATTCAATCTATTTCGACACATGTAAGTAGGTCTAGTTAGGTTCACTACGATTTGTGATGGCATTGATTTCAGCGTGTATCGTAGAGTTAGGCAAAAATGCCGTGAACCTTAATTCGGCTGAAGTTGCATCGCGTCCGTGTGCAAACGTTGTCAACGCAATAGTTGAATACCAGTACAAACTGCCCCGGCGTATAACAGAGGTCTTTCTGTACTGTGGTTGTATAGGCTCTAAAGTCAACTTGTCAGCGTTTTTTAAAAAATAAGTCAGATATCACACGAATGGATTTTAGTGCAAAAGGTACTATTACTGAGAAAAAATCTAATGAACCGTGTTGCCGAGCAAGATTAGGCATATTAATTAGTATTGGAGGAAAAAGTATTTGTTCAGCGAAAATTCAAAGCCATGTCACCCAGAACTCTTGTGGTGGAAACGCTAGAAGTTGCTGGTGATCTGTTGGTGTTACGAGAAATTTAATGCCAATTTCTGTTGAACGGCTCATCAATTCCTGAAATCGTGGAAAACTGAACCTGGTAAAAGTTAAGAAAAATACATGAGTTTTTAAGAATGAAAAGATATTATTGGCCCCTTTCTAGTTCAGGTTTTTGATCTGTGTCTGAACTTTGTTTTATGGATTACCGTTTAACGTAATTAATTTGTCTGGTTTAGAGTTTTAAACGTTGTCAAGAAGGAAAATGTTTTAAAAAGTTCCACATTTTGGTGACATTTCTGTGTTGGCAGCAATATTGAACCAGGCTACACTTATCTTTTAACTTTGGCGTTTGTGGCATTAAATATTGGCATCCACTTTTGCAGAGTCATGGAAACACAAATGGCCCGGAGGGGTTGAAAAGAGGATTTAAAAACCGTTCACAATTGCGGATAATGCCCTTACGATTTTACAGGCCGCACACATGTATAGGAATGGCATAGGCATTCCATCTGCCTTTTGTATTCATTCCGCTGTGTGTGAGAGAGCAAATCGCGTGTGTACATACACAATACACAAACTCGGCGAGTCGGTACCACACAGCAGGGCACTGGACAATAGAAAGAGGAGAGATAAAACTTTAATAAAACACTTCGCATTTAACAGCAGGCAGGTTTGCTACCCTTTTGACGTAGCAAGCAAGTCTTTCGATTTAACTTGTTTGATTTAGTAAAGGGCCCTATAACAAGCACAGACAATTAAGGATTTATGTACACTAATATATATTTCTCTCTTTTTTGTGTTAACGAATTGTTGACGAATGAAATGCACAAACGGCAAAAGAAACTGCCCCTGTAATTCCGGAAAGAAAGCATAAAGAAAGAAGACAAAAGTAAGGCACTTGGTTTGGACAAACTCTGCACTGCGTATTTACTTTAGAATTAAAAAAAAGAAGTGTTTAAAGTTCTTTCGGGGTGTAATTTTTACTGATCGAGTAAGATTAAATTTCACGACGTTTGTCCCCTCACTCTTTCCCCACATCGTCAATTATTCTTTCCTTTTCAGTAATTGGTACATTATGCACCTATCAATTAATTAACTATGTAAGTAATTAATTAAGTAATTTATTCATTCGTTCATAGTGGGGTGGACTCATTGGCCGGGCAATTGCCCCGAATACATAATGCCCCCTTGATCGTCATCCATTGTAGGTCCTACATACACTACAGGTCATGATTCAATTTTCCAACATTTTATTGTTAGAGGCCTTCGTAGCGAGCTTCGAACATTAAACATCACATACTTAGAAGTTAAGTGTGAAAATGATATTCATAGTACGGGCAATATAAGTACACTGCAACTATTATCTCGATTTCATAATAGCCTTGGAAAATCGGAAGCCATAAACTATTATTAATTGAGGTGGTAAATGCTGCTATGGAAGTAACGTAACGCTGTTCTACTTCCTGAAAGAATCGAATTACAGGAGCAAAGTCTAAAAGGTGTTTGATAAAGAGATGGTATAAGACAAAACAAAGAAAGGTATATTGAAAATCAACACACAGGAATCTGGTGATTGATAGCTTAGAGCAAGAGGTACAAGAGAGAGAGAGAGAGAGAGAGAGAGAGAGAGAGAAGAGAGAGAGAGAGAGAGAGAGAGTGAGAGAGAGAGGGGGGGGGGGGAATAAACTTTCCTTCAAAAGTATATAGTGAACAAAATCTAGTCGGGCTTTTTATTTATTTTATTGCAGGCTTGTGTTCAGGTTTCATGGTTCGTGGAGCGTTCACTCCTGGCCATTTACTCAGCGTGCCAGGCATAGCAGCAATATACAGTTATCAAAATGTCATGACCAAGAGTGCCTATACAACGCCAGATACATCAACATGCTCCCATCATGTTTAATAACGTTATCATTGAAATCATTCATTACCCCCCCCCCCCCTTCCCCTCCCAACCATATATTATGCCTGTAACTCATGAAACGAACAGGCACCGACTGTTTAGGCAAACTATGTTTCCTTCTCTTCACCTTTCAAAACAAACCACATTTTGAAGGAAAAAAATCAACCATAGGCCTGTACTCAGAACACAACATTCAAATACTGGGCAGCCTTGGGATAGCGGGCAACGGCAACGCTTAGTGGTTTACTGTAGGTAATTGGTTAACAAAACCGGAAATTCTTGATCGTTTTTCCATGTACGGACAGCGAACCTGGGTATAGTGTTGAATTGAAGTGAGTGACCTGATTATGAGAATACAGCAGTCGGAACAATTAAATGGTTGCGGTCAGTTTGACCATATTGACCATCACTGTAAAGCCAGCAATTCATTTGCAAACCATGATGATCATTAGGTGTGTTGTTATTTTGTTTTGCAATGATGAAAGGTATAGAGCTTGCGTTTTCAGAAGCGTAACCAACAAGCCGTCAGAAGTCGGAGCGAACGACACATTCTTGCTAAGTTTGTACTGGCATGTTCTCGTTAGCATGGTAATAATGAAGCACCACCATCTCAACGACCACGGCCATCACCACCACTACGACCATTACCACCACCACCACAATTAATATCACCATGCACCGCCACCATCACCACCACCATCCTACGACCAATTCATTCCCACCACCACTCCAGTCCCACCATCACCATCACCATCACCACCAACTTTAACACCACCACCACACTTCCGCTATCACCACCTCCATACCACCACCAACACTACCATCATCCCCACCACCACATTCACACCATCACTACCAGCCCTTTCTCATCATCACCACCACCACCCTTAACACCACCACACTTCCCACCATCACCACCTCCATACCACCATTACCACCATAACACCACCATACCACTACCACCACATTCTCATCATCACCACCACCACCACCACCACCACACTTCCCACCATCACCACCTCCATACCACCATCAACTCTAACACCAACACTACCAGCATCACCACCACCCCATTCTCACCATCACCACCTC